TTGTTTAGATAAATTTCAATGTTTGTTGTATTACACTGTATTATTGTAAATGGATATACGAGCATCTTTTCATATCTTCTTAGATTATAGTAAGTTGATGAAAAGTAAGAACCACCTAAAGATTTTCAAATACGTTTATCTATTGTACTTCTTTGACCAATCAATGGATTCTGCGTAAATCTTGCAACTTTATAGATCTTTAACACTTATTACTTTGAAGAATAAAATAAAATAAAAAGGAATTTTAGATATCGGTTGTCTTTTGTACTCGCTTTTATATACCGCGTAACCATACCTAGGTTCTTTAATTATATCTTGTAATATTTCCTTTGCATATATTGTTTACATAGAAACCATCGTAATCTTACTAATATAAATGTAAAAGTTTAGATGCATGGAAAGACGGATGTTTGTTAGAAAAAATCTCCAGAACAACTCAACGAATCCCGATGAAATTTGTGCAGAGATGTAGAAGATGGTCTGATAGAACACATAAACTACTTAATTTTGTACGGTCGAAGTCACAAGTAAAACCTAGTATGGAATATTTGTATCAGTTCCGAGTTACAGTTGAAAATGTAACGTCCCCTGTACTGTAAATCATTTTAACTGTCTGAACACAATGTGGGTCGTTACCTATTAACCCGCGTGTTCCCTGATTGACATACAATATGCATAGACAAGGTGTGCCGGTAGTCACCAGTCAGTCCAAATGTTGCACAGTTAATGGCCATTGTGTTACAATCATCCATCATAGCGCGACACGTTGCTCTGTCCATTCAGTTCAGTTTTATTAAGCGATCAAAAGAAGGCCAGGTAAAGTAAAGGCAATTTGTCACTGTTGCCTTGATTATTATTAATTGTAGATTTCAAATTGTTTCACATTTGTTTCCGATCGTTTATATTTCCTAACTGACGGGGTGTTATTGCTTTTCCCGGGAATACCTAGCTGATATTAGCTGCTTAATTTCATAAACATTGGTCTTGGCTGCATAAGCGATTCAGCAGAGGTCATGTAGAGAAAATACCCTTGTCAAGAAGACATAACAAAGTTTCACTTTTCAATTAAGTTTTTCATGCTAAACCAGTATAAGTTGACATTTATAAAAAATTGAAATTTAAAATATCTATAAACCTACATCTGTTTATGTGGACTCGCGCAACAGGAGAATTGTCAATAGTTCTTATGCAAGAACGTCATTGTCCGAATTTTGTTCGTTATATGTTATCATTGGAGCGAGGAAAGCCTTGTCAATAAAATGGACGGAACTCTGGCTGTCAGTGGCGCAATGCGTGGGTACACCCTCTACAATAAGTTTACGCAGTAAAAATTAACATAATGTATCCGGTGACAGGCTAATACCATAGTGTAGCATTGCTCCTGTAATCAGCACACATTGAAGGAGTTTTACGAATCATTGCACCTTTAATACCCAATTTAAAACTACTCGTAAAAGTTGGAAAATATTTAAAAATATTTTAATTTCCATTAAAATCCATTAAAATGGATCAAAAGCATCTTTGGCATTGCCAATTTAAATATATGAATACCATTCGATGTGTTCGAATAGCCGTAATGTTGGTTATTGGTGTAATATAAATATATGACGAGATGAAGAAAATACACTTATTTCTTAAATGTCGCCTCGTCCCTCTGTTGTTTATGAGGCTTGCCTAATTCTACCATTTATGAACTCTAAATCACGGCGTATAAAGTTATGGTTAATTAATTTCAACGTAGTGTCAACATAGCGAGATATTTACAAAAGCAAACGTGCCTTATTTTCGCATTTCGCTGGCCGTATCGGACCGTGTATGGATTGTTGTACCGCCCTACAGCATGCGGGTGCATTGACCCAATACAAATAAATAGCCACAATGTGCGTATGTGTGTTTCCGATCATTCAACGTAACATTTACATTGTATATTTAACTGTGAAACGTTTTCGTACAAAATCATTAGCTCCACGGCGCAGTCTTATGATGTTCCAATTGATATGCTTTTCATCCCGTTTCAACGTCAAAGAATACGATAACAATGCGTTTTTTGTTTGAGTCATATGAGAACTTCATGCATTTCGTAGTATATAATTTCTGCATATTTCTAATCATTTTGTAACATTGCAATGACTTTTTACAACAAGAACAACGAGTTCAGTACAACATTAATTATCCATTCAATTTTTTTACACTCAAGTGTGCGAACCATCTAAGGGATGAAGTATAAAAAAACTGCGAACATATCTGATTCCATCCAAATATAGACTATGATAATAACATAGCTTTAATCTCTAAGGATTCATATACATTTGAAATGAGTACAGGAAGCAACAGACGCTTGCTCTCGTTATAATAGAATTAGTAGTTTCATTAGCGATCTCGCGGACAGTTGCTAATTAACCTCACACTCGCAGAGGAATTGTTCTTGCAAAAATATTCCAGACATCGCATAGAGTTGACCTATATCAACAATGTTATTGAGATATCTCGAGATTGAAGGGCCTTTTTATCATAATATTTGAAGAAATCAAGCCCCGGACTTTGCAAGGCAGCGTTAAATTTGCAAACTCAGCTGGGATATTCAAAATGCTTGCTTTTGATCAAATATTCACTATCTCATACGATATCATGATTGCTCAGATAAAATGAAATCACAACAGTATACTGAATACTGTTTTACAAAACACGTAAGTAAATATTTAATGCAAACGATAGACAATGATTAACAATATTGTTAACATCTATTACTATCACACGATTTGAATTTTCCTTCTGAATTACAAATGCAATACAAGTAACTTTCATTTAGTTTGTCCTCTTTCTGTTTAAGTTATTCTACCAATAAATCCACTCACATAACTAATATACCTCTTGTCGTATGTTATTCGGGACTATTATTTCCTTTAAAGAATTGAAATAAAATTCTAATCTTTACTGTAAAATACCTTTGACATCTTTACAAATTGGCGTATTCTTCTTCGTCTTCTTATTCCTTTTCAAATTACAAGTTAACCTTTCGATAGCTTTCAGAATCTTCTTGCTGACTTTGTTAATGGTTCTTTGTTTCGGATCGTTGTATTTCGTTCGTGTACCGCCGACAACCTTCTCTTGACCCGAATCTGTGCTGTCATCACTCTCAGTTGCCGAAGATTCGGACACCGGGTGAAATGTGTAAGGTGCACTCGCGAAACAAGGAGAATTCATTATAACTACTACCATAGACTGTTACTTTATGGTATCATTACACGTCCATGGTATTGAAAGAACCGGCAACTTTGGAACTTCTATAGCACTGGTTTTTTTTTAATTTCAAATTTTTTGAACACTGAAAGACGACTATTCCCAACAGTATCTAGCAGAACGTATCAAGTCGTCGACGGTACTGCTCAAGACGTAGGATTATGACTTCAGAAAGCCTATCGACCGTAACACCACACCTTGACAAGCCCAGACCTTGACCCGTCTGGAACATCAACGCTATATCACGTCCAAAGAATAGGTCGTTGAAAACAAAGGGCAATATTTAATACATCATTAATTGTTCTCAAGGCTGGCTGGATGTATACAAATTTTAAGTTCATATTTTTTTGACTTTCAGTTTTTAATTTGATTTTTTTTCCTTAGAATTGCCGTAGCACACTCTATCTCTATCTCAATCTTTATTACTTTCTTTCGTACAAACACAAACATGTTCTGGCATCCTTTTCCCTTGTAATCGAATGTAATATTACACGTCAAAGACATAAATGCAGTATGATAACATACCTGGTGATATGATTAACTAATCGCATTCAAAATTGGACGGTAACTATAAACGTATTACTAAGTATTGATAAAAGTAACCAGTTCAATATACTTCTATAAATTATAACCCAGCACTCGAATGTATTAGAGCAAGATACCCAAGCCGCTCTTCGTATTTGCTTCATTTATTATTGGCAATAGAAAATTCTTATACAGCTAGTTATTAATCCGCGCCAATTGTTCTTAGCCGTCTCTAACAATACGCCCTCGAATGAAGTGCCACAATACACTGCCCTAGCTCTACGAAGCGCAAAACAAAAGCGATCTCGCCAACTTAACTACACTCCGATAATTAATTTAATGTCGGCTACGATAGAAATACTATAAGACCAGTTTCAACGGAAACAACACTAATTAATATCATACCGAATACATAAAGAAAAATATTAATTTAGAAGGAAAAAATAGTATTCTATTTTATCTGAATTATGGCTATTTTTACTCAGCAGGCGTCGTTATTAGTATGTAATAATAGGTTACATGTATTATGTACGAGTATCATGTCACACATTTTTTAAAATTTACTATAATAATTAGTTTAAGGCAATAATTTTACAAGTTTATAAATTGTTTGCCAGCGCCTGGCATTTTAACACAGCAAAGTTTTGTAAGAACACAAAATTAGTGAGATAAATGACGAGGACGTATGAACACTAATTAAAATGTAATACCTTAAAACACTTAATGCTAGTTCTTATAGTATCACGCAATATCTACGTATCACGAAGTTTACCAAGTGGGACGCGATTAATCAAGTCAAAATTAGTCTCAAACTCTTTTAATTTCTTTCGTTAAATGTTACACTGTTTAAAATAAAGCGTTATGTTTAATATTCTGAAAATAACTTTGTATACTTCTAGGTTACCTTGATAAAATTCAGAGCATTTTTGCTAACATCAAAACGCTCTCTTTCCTAGAATGTTTGATCTGTTGTGTACGTAAAGAAAACACTATTTTTATTGTAAACAAATTGAACGCGCTGAGTAGGACATTTTTACCCCGTATAATAAGCAAGTGAAATTGTGTGTTAAACTATGAAATAACATAATTGGAATATTTATATACAATTAAGGAATCGAAACAATAATTAAAAACATGATTATTTAACAAATAAATCTAGAAATAATTATCTGTCTTTGTAAATTTATATCAAAAATGTGTTTTCCAATTCTGTTCTTAACGAATTATAAACTTACCTGGAGAAAAAATGTTGCCACGTACATCTTGCGGCTGATTTTCTTTTAAAATAGTTGATTCGTTTCTGTACTTCCCGTACGCTTCATAGTTGTTTGAGTTAAATGTCGATTTGCTATTTATTTGTTCGTTTTTCGGTGAATACTGTACTTTAATATAATGCTCGGTGGCTGGTGACTTATCCTCATTTAATCCATGTCTTAAATTTTCACTATCCAATTGGTTAACGTTGTCGGTAGATCCGTTCATTACAATTTTCTTAATAGTCTTTATTTCTTCTGTTTCGCTGACTTCGTGCTCGGTAACAGATATGCGATTTATTTCTTGTTCGTTTTTATGAAGATCACTATCACTTATTGATATCGGTATTGTCGTGTTTTCGGTTCTTAAATTTTCATCGTTTTTACCATTACTGCGCAGAAATTTATCAAAGGGGTCACTGTTTCTTTTCATTTTAAATGGATTTTTTTCATGTAATTTTATTTCACTAGACGGTTCGTGAATCTTTAAATTACTATCACGTACGAAGGGACTATCTTTATTGCTTCGAGGCAATTTTAATGCCTCCGAGTTATATCCGTTCGTATTTCCTGTGTCATTGTGATTTGAAAATATAGTACTATGAGGACCAGAGTCGTTCATTAATGAGAAATAGGAAGGTGATCTGAGATCCGAGTCGTATTCGTTTTGTATTAAATTATCTTTAAATTTACTTTGTGTTCTACTTCTATCTAGGCCTGAGAGCGAAGCTCTTCCATTTGGAACTGGCAGTTTGGAAGCACTTGAATAATTTGACGGTAATGTATAAAAGGGGTTCGTAGGATGGAATTGTATTGGTTCCACTCTAGGCGTCTCTGATCTTATATGATCTGTAGCGTTTAACGCGGCTGGTAGAGAGGTGAGAGATGACGGCGGTCGATGCTGCGATGTCTTGGCCGGTCGTATGGTTGCATACACCGGGGCTTGCGGAATCGGTACGTCGTTGTTTATTTCCGACAGTAAGTGCGATGACCCTGAAATAGATGAATTCTTTATAGATTAACTAAATAAGAAACCTACATTTGAAAACTAATTTATGAAAAGATATCGATCAAGCATGTCAATTTTTTTTCTGTACATTTTATTTTTTTATTAAAAATCCAATAAAGTCCAGTCCCGCAAACAAATAAAATGAATTGTCTCGCACCGTTTAATCATAACAATTTAAAAACATCGAATTTGAAGTAATGAATATACAGTCACAGATAAAACGAGCATCGCTTTCCCATTAGGCGAGGGATGCCAGTTAATCCGGCCTACGATTGAGGCAGTAATAATCGTTGCGAACGTTTAGCCCCCTACTTAAACGAATGTGTAGATAACCAAATGGTATCATTAGCGTGTCTTTTATTACAATAATACATTTATAACAGTGACACTGACATTGTAGACATACACTTCTGTTTGTATATATCAGTTAGCTAAGCTAAGTATTGTTCCGAAATACTTACTCCTCAAGTCGCTGGCTCTACCAATAGACCTTCTCCGTGGCGACATCTCCTTGTCTCTGCCAATAAAGAAAACTTAGATTATGAAATGTCCTAATAATTAGCAACTTTAAAATAATTGCGGGGTGCGTTTGTTTTTTTAAAGCTCAACTAAGTTTTAATACTCTGTAAAACGTCGGGCGTTCGTAAGCGAGGCAGATTATAAAAGTTTATGACGTGGGCGAAAACAAATTGCCCCGACTGCCATCCGGTGGTCGTTAAAAGTGGCTGGAATTTATAAACGGTTGTCATATTTGTTTCGTGAAACTCTTGCGCCCTTGTGATAAGGAAGTTTACGTCGCTCACTTCAGTCGTTATTCATAATTTTATTGACGTACGCAACTTGCTTGTTTTTTTGGAGATTCAATTAACATAAGCCTGGGGAAAAAAGAAAACGTTTTTTTTACGCATAGATAAATATCAAATGTATCATCCATCTCTATATTATTACTACTTTGAGTCTAAAAGGTACATTCATATTTGTATTATTAAACAAGTTATTAGTACAAGCATTACAAAACAAGCGCTTAAATCAGAATCATTTGGTTCAACCTACACGAACGTTACATCAGAAATGCATGCATTTTCAGAATTCCATCGTTCATTCTCTTATTCCGACCATTAGCATGACACAAAGGCTGAGCCTCAATCTACGTTAGACCTAATCTACGGAACGGGTGGCATTCGATGTTCGTGCGACGCGCGGAAGAGTGATCGGATTAACAGACAGCCGTATTTCGCTCCGTGCGAGCGCTTTACCTATGAAGGTATGAATACGCTTACAGATAATACCTTGATTGTAGCTTTAAGCTTTCGCATTGAGCGCTACGATACGGTTCCTTTACATTATTGGATGAAAATTTCAATATAAAAATGTACAAAAAGTATAACGTTAATGTAATAATTACAACTGATTTGATGTTAAAAAAACTATTGCGCCATTATTCAAAACGATTATAAGAAAGCAATAATTTTCCTTGCCTCTTTTACTCCTTTCTAATGATTCCTTAATAAACAGTGCTAAGCTGCCCAGTTTTTTTTTATGAGGAGACAGCAATGGAGCGGCCAGTTTACAGAGATGCTTATCGATACTGCAGTTTTTTGTTTTCTTACATTTAAGGATGACACAATAAGACTTACTCATTAAGGCCTAGCCTCAGCACGGGTCCAGCGGAGCGCAGCATAGAGTGGGCGTCAGCGTTGCTCATCGCTCTCGTAGGCTGGCCATTGATAGAGGATATCACATCGCCTTCTCTGATACCACTCAGCGATGCCTTACGACCTGGGTTCACCTGGAATATAAATAGTAGATTTAAATTAGCTTGACTTAAAAATAGTTATAGGTTACATTTAAAGTTTTAAACAAACTTATTTTGGGATGAAAGTATTTTTGTGTTATATGACGAAGTTAATAGCAATTCTGCTCTAATCGTTGTAAATATTTTAATTAAATGTCAACATTCATGTTATATTTCCACTATAATATTATGGATAAACTTTAAGTCATGAATGGGTAAAGAAAAGTTACTTCTAGGAAATAACAGTTTCAGCAACAATGAAATGGTAAATACATTCCTTCTAGTCTCCGCAGATTCAAGTTTAATGTGAAAAGCAATTGTTATAGGTGCTTCATTCAAGATAGTACTGTCGTATCGTCGACACTATCTATTATGTTGATTAAAATAGAGTCGTGCATTATCCGAAACAGAAAAAACATTCAACATACATTCGATCCTTACTTTTTTAACTGGGAAATTTTTGCTACACTTTAATCAAATATAATGGCATATATTAATGAGTTTCACTTAAAACTATTTGCTCTTTAGCTTCATAACTGATACGAAATCAATATTTGACTGACTAATGATAATATATGACTACTTGGTAACTAACCGATTTCGGGTAAAATCTTTTCATTTCCGCTGAATTATTACGAAACAGAAATTCAAGGAAAGACGTAATTAATTATTCTGAAAAGTTTTTTTTTCAACAGATTGTAATCTCGACACATTTTTCTAATTTT